TAAGTATATTGAAAAATGTCCCTTTATCTTCAGTTTTACTTATCGCCGGATTTACTCACTTGCTGCTTATGATCTCTTCCGTTATTTTGATAACAGCTTAGTATTCCAGCAGGGGTTTTGCGTCAGTTAACGTCAGCCAATAACACTAATTATATTGTCATCGTTTCTTACGCAAAACAAATTGGCTCAAGAATTGAATATTTTATACTAGTATTTATCATATGATTATCCATAAAATACTTTTATTTCTTCTTTTATTTTCACATGTGAAAATATCGTTTCCATGTGTATTTAAGCTATTAGTTTATAAAAAAAAACTTTTTATCATAATAAAAAGCTTGTTAATTTGATTTTATGGATAATTATATGTAATAAGCAGAATATTACATGGGCGCTTGGAGATACGAAATTTATCTCCTCGTGAGAGATCTTTTCAACACTCGAAGATATATTTCGTATCTCCGCGCTCCCATGTAATATCCTCTATGTAATATACACCTATAATTCAAAAAAACTATGCCATCGCCAAAGGCGATGAAAAGCGATAGGGTATATGTCATTCCAAGATCCAAGAATAGCTGGAATGACTTGTATTTTTGCTTCTTATTCTCGTCAGGAGTATGGACCTTAGTGTTGAGACTGATTCGATGTTCTTTGTATTCAACGAAACCATTTCCATGTCAGAATGACCTATCGCCTATTGCCTTTGGCGATGACAACGTTTTTTGAATTAGGTGTATGCCACATGAACGATCGAACTTTATGGTGGCAATTAGAATGGCAAGCTGCACATAGGTTCACAGATCTTACAAAATGAAAAAGTCTTCTCGTACGACAGAACTTTAATTTTCGCGTTGCCCTATAGTACGTGCTTGTAATGATTTGACACTCAGCGCGCATCTTTCTTTGTCGCTGAACATAAAGTCTGCACTTGATATGACGAAGAAAATTTGTTGCGCGCGCGTCAAAGAAAGACTCAGAGACTCAGAGAGACAGAGAGAGAGAGAAATAACCAGAGTTGACGTGGTGATGGTGTTTATAATGATATTCGGATCTAAACCTCAATTGACCTGAAATCATTTCATAGCTACACACCTTGCTGATTAATTGATTATTCTTTTTATCCCTCAGCGGAAAGGTTAGTTGAGGTGCAGTGGAATGTTTAATGCATGCCTATTTTTAAGTCTTTTATGTTAAGGTTTTTAACGTGCGTGTAGCCCAACCAGAGATAATAGTTAGATTGCACGCAGGCTAGTATATTCTTTCTAACTTAAATACTAAAGTCTTCTGATGATATCTTCCAGGTTTAGAGCCAGTTTTATGACTCTTCTGAAGATCAAAAGACCCCCAATTCCAGTAAATGCTGTCGATGTAATAGTGGACACAAGTACAAATCGGCGAAGAATGTGCAACAAATCTACAGTACTTCAAACACGACCTGCCGTCGACAATCAAGCAACAGCAATCGAGCTCTTGGTACCTAGTTTCCTCAATCCTAAAAATAATGCTGTCAAATTAATCAACACTGAACGTAGTGTCTGTAATAAAAGTGTCAACGATGATGCCAAATCAGGATAAGACCAATATATATATATTTGATGTACTGATCTCAGAATGATCATGGATCGAAGTCATGATTCCTTAGTCATCATCCGTTTTATTCTGTCGTCAATGAGATGAATTCTTGGCATCTTTCACCTCTTCGGTGGCGTCTGTCTGGTATACTCTTACTGCAAGATAACTTGGTTAACTTACAGTAAGGACTTCTCGTGACCGTGATCATGACGGTCGTTATATGTCTAATAACTTCAGTGCACTGAGAAGCATCTCACACTGGAATTTGGACGAATATTGGTGCCCTAAATTCCATGCCTTGATTGGCCTGTAGTGGGCATACGCAACTTCTCTAGCACAGATATTAGTTTTCAGAAAGCCAACTGTGTCAAAAGAAGGTTTATTTAGCAACATAGTACAGCACTCATAAGATTAGATAAAAATCTCAAATTAAAATAAAATCTCTAAGGAGTAGATAGACATCCTTGCCTGGACGCAACTTATGTCGCGGTGCAGCTGGATACCAATCAATCATACAAGGAGCACCTAACTGCTTCATGAATTAGCATTGGATAAAAAAGAACACTACTGGTGTTCCACAGAGATCTGTTTTCGGTCCTTTACTTTTCTTGATTTAAACTCGTAACTTCAAATATTTTCACGACTGATAGTCTAAATCTTTATCTTTTTGTATTTGCAGAGGATGCTAACTGTTTGTTTGAACAGACAAACGTCTGTGGCTATTTAGCCAACCCCGGCCATTTCATTCTGTATTTGGTTTTCTTCGCTGAAATGAAGCAACTCTAAAATCAAATGGATCCGAGGATCAAGCATACTGTGAAAACGGCCATACCATGCCGGCGAACTTGGAGGAAAGGTGGCGTCGACTTCCCCTTGAGTTGTATTTCAACAAAAAATTATTTTTCAAAGTAAAACATTTCCTGCTTATTCGCTTTGGCTCCAAACTGACCTATATTTTGCGCAAATTTAAATTCAATAACTTGAAATAAAAGTGCAATCTGGATAGCTAGGGATGAAAAGGTGCATTAAAGAATAGTTGCAAATGATCCAAATAAAGTAAAATATAGAGCATTAAATTCATTAAATAAAATTTAATGAATGTTCTCAAAACCACATCTTTTTACGTTATAAAAGCACGACAAGAACCGAATGCGATGGAACTAATGCGGAAAAGTATATTCATAGAAATAAATGCAACGAATGATATGTGCGTATACGATTTCAAACTAGAGTAAATGACACAAGTCATTGAAGTTTATTAAGACTTCAAGACGACTTTTTACAATTCAAAAACATGACAACTGAGTGCGACGAAGCTAAATGCCTGAGGTAAAAAATACATTTGAAACAAATGCAATGAATAAAATGTACGTCTGTCAATGCCGGTGCCCTTAAATCCCACTTGTGCCTTCTTAAAATTATCGCCAAAAAAAATCCATTAGAGTTACGATCCTTTAATAAACATTTAGGGAATTATTAGAAGGCCAAGCGTCAGTGTGGCCATTTTTTTTGTTCATTTAGCATTTTCCATGATAGCATTCCATCTTCAGGAAACACATCAGTCCTGGACGTGATGTTGTCGATGTGAGAAAATCTGTAATGAAATCCTAAACAAAGATCATATTTGGTTTCCTCAGACTGACAGAAAACATCCAAAAGATCGAAAAAGAACACGCTGAGAAGAGTGTTCGTTAAATATTTTTGTTATACCTGATCAACTAGATTAATAGTTTTTTAAACGCTTTATTCGAAGGTTCACGATTTAAATATGCATTTGTAATCCGAAAACGACTAAGGAAGCAAACCAAGCTAAGAGGCATAGTTAACAGTGGCATTTTCACAGAGTTGGCTCTTCTTCCAAAGAATCCAATCAGGATTGATACGATTTAACAGATAAAAATTGTCAAACCAAAAGCCCCAAAAAGATTTCTCAGAAGTACATATCTTTTTCCACTATTGATCCTCGTATTTTTCTTTTGTGATCATCATTATGGCTACGATCAAGGAACGTGCGCTTCAAAAAAAAAAAAATTGCAAATCAAAGAACGACTGAACGAACGTAATTTCATTTTGGGAGGGTAACATTGCGTAACATTGTGGTACCCGCCGCGTTTATAATGAATGTAGCTCGTTTTTGAAAAACGTCCAGAATATCCAGACTATTGCGTATGCGATATGCAAACTCAAGCCAGCGCGCTTCATCACGGATTCATGACGTAAACGTTCATATTCTGACATAAACAAATTCAAGCAACCGCTGACCACTTCAAAACGTAATTGTGAATAATTAGATTTAATTGTATAATTAAGTCTTTGTTTAACGTAATTCTTGATTTTACCTGAAATGAATTATCCATTACAGTCCAAAATGTGACAAAACTCTGCGGAATCGAGGACGGGAGAATCTATGAATGTTGAATGGCGATCTTTTTATTCAGTTTTGCTTATTTTAATGATCTTTGTGAATAACACAGACGGWCAGTTATCCGGTAAGTAGATTATAGAATGCCTCGGATTTTCTTAT